ATGAGGCCCTTCAGCTTTGGGAGCTATGTATCAGGGTGGATATTCACCTGTTTGCCTCCTATCTCTCGTGGTCCCAGAACACCCTGGTGGACCAACTTATCAGATCCTTCTCCAGCCACGAATGATCTCTCAGGGGGGATGTGGCCCTCCAAATCTTCTGCAGGTGGGAGTTTCCCCTTCTGGACCTGTTTGCCACCCAGCAGAACAGGAAGTGCCCATGGTTCTGCTCCTATGGGGTGGGGATCCCTGGGAGACGCACTCATCACTCCCTGGCCAGAGGATCTACTTTATGCGTTTCCACCCTTCCCACTGGTTCACAAGGTACTCTTGCGGGTTCAGGAGTTATGGGCATCCCTGATCCTCATTGCACTGGTGTGGCCCAGACAGGACTGGTTCACGTCCCTCCTGAACCTATCCTGCAAGAGGCCAATTGATCTCCCACTGGACCCAGACCTGATAACACAGGACTGCAGCAGTCTTTGCCACCTGAATCTGCAGTCCCTGCACCTAATGGCATGGAAGCTCCATGGCTGACGGCGTTGGAGCTGCAGTGCTCAGAGTGAGTGCAGGAGGTCCTGCTGGGGAATAGGAAACTATTCACTAGACCACCCACCTGGCTAAGTGGAAGTGCTCCTCTATCTGAGCTACCCAGAAAAGGGCATCACCTATGGATGCCCAGATCCCTCTATTCCTGGATTACCTACTGGATCTTAGGATGCAAGGGCAATCCTCTACTTACCTTCGTAACTGTTGTTCTTCAAGATGTGTTGCTCATGTCCATTCCACGTTAGTGTGTGTGCACTGCGTGCACACGTTGTCAAAAGTTTTTCCCTTAGCAGTACCTGTTGAGCCAGTAGGAGAGTCTCTGGGAGTAGCACCGGTATACTGGCCAATATATATACCCCTGCTGGCCCAGTTCCTTCTTACTGAACTCAGAAGAGGAGGAGGTGGGGGCAGGATTTGGAATGGACATGAGCAACACATCTCAAAGTACAACAGTTAAGAGGTAAGTAACCTTTTTTTCTTCTTCGAATGATTACCCATGTTCATTCCATTACCCATGTCCATTCTAATGTAGGCATTCGAACTTGCAAATGAAGCCCGGGATATTTAAATATCCCGGGCTTCATTTGCAAGTTCGAATGCCTACATTAGAATGGACATGGGTAATGGAATGAACATGGGTAATCATTCGAAGAAGAAAAAAAGGTTACTTACCTCTTAACTGTTGTACTTTGAGATGTGTTGCTCATGTCCATTCCAAATCCTGCCCCCACCTCCTCCTCTTCTGAGTTCAGTAAGAAGGAACTGGGCCAGCAGGGGTATATATATTGGCCAGTATACCGGTGCTACTCCCAGAGACTCTCCTACTGGCTCAACAGGTACTGCTAAGGGAAAAACTTTTGACAACGTGTGCACGCAGTGCACACACACTAACGTGGAATGGACATGAGCAACACATCTTGAAGAACAACAGTTACGAAGGTAAGTAACCATTTTTTCTGTTAACTGGGCATTTTTCCCTTTCACTCCCTCACATCAATGAGGAGGATATGGGAGCAGCACAGATCAATTGAAGTTGCAGTTCTGAAGTAGCTGCTATACATTAGAACAGCTCTTGAGGGTATTGTAGTATATTCCAGGAGCCACTGTTGCTACCAGCCAGTGCAGAATTAAGTAAAAAACTGTATTAAAGCCACCTTTGCCACTCCTTTCCCTGGGCTGTGCTTTCTGTGGATGCCTCTTGGAAGCAGAGCACAGAATCTGTTATATGATGTTTAAAGTCTATCAATTTAATTTTTAATAATAAAATGACTGCCATCATGTACAAATCATGTAGCGGTGCTATTGGTGATAATTTTTCACACAATCAAGAATGTGCTTTTTTTTCCATGAGTTTTTTGCTTGGTTAGAAAGGGAAAATCAGTGATTACTGATTTAAAATGTAATCCTTTCAAACACAATACTCATAGGCAAATCCAGCCCCCAAACCAGTTCCTCAAAACACAGCATAACTGGTGGTGCTCTCCTGTACAAAAAGAGGGGCATGATGTAAAGAAGCCATGGAGGAGGCCTTGAGTACTCTGTATTCCCTGAAGAGTAAACCATTCAGGTTTTTTCTGCATTAGAAAGTGGAGGGGGCTTGAAAGATTAGTGGAACTGACAGATCCACATGTTACTGGCTGGCAAGGGGTTGGAGGTTATACGAGTCGCAGGCCCTAATCAAGCCATAAGGTTGCACTACTGTAGCCTGAATGAAAAGAATTCCATCTTCAGCCTGATCCTTCCAGATCTCCTCAGTACCTAGCCTCACTATTTAGGTTGAGATTTGCACTGAGAAGAGGATGTGGCTATATATAAGGTTATTTTATGTTATTCTAGGTATTTTAAATAAGGGCATCAAGTGAAGTTTTTTATTATTATTTTAAAATGGTGAATACAAAATGCTAGAAATGTATCTAGGAAGATTATAGGAGTATTCTAATAATTCTGGAAAACTCTAGAATTCCAGCTGTTTTTCCTGTGTACTTTTGTACCGTTGTTTCCCATACATTAAAAATATGGTAGCATGTATCCCCTTGAACAGTCAGTCACAAAAGTATGATCATAGTATATCTGTCTTAGAAATTTCAATTATATTTTCATTCTTGTTTTCAAGACGTGTAAAAATGTCTAGTTTCTTTTCAATTTTTTGTTGTGGTTGCAGAAAATATATACAGTAATCATTAATTTAAGGCACATAGGGCTAAGCACATCTATACAGTCATTAGCAGTACAGATTACTGCAAAAATGCTTGTTATAATGTTCTGAAATATAAATATTAGAAGTCATGCATGGAGTTAAGTTCTAAAGATCTTTTAGTTTTTGTTTATTTCCAGTGAAAAGTTTTATATGTTGAAGGTTTCTTCAGCAGACTTATCTTGATTAATTTAATGAATAGTAATCATGCATCCAGATATCTGTCATAATATAATCTCATGTTTCTATCTGTCATATTTCTTTGACTGGTCTACAAATATGCAGTTCAGGGAGGAGGAAAAGGAAATATATTTCTTATTTTCTTAACATAGTAAGCCCAGGTCTACACTAGGGCTTTATTTTGAAATAACCCCCCTTATTATTTATAAGGGTCAAATTTATAAGCAGAGAATCCACACTACCCATCCCGTTATTTCAGAATAAGAGGCCACTTATTTCTAAATCTGTACTCCTGATTTTCATGGGGAATAACACTTATTTCAAAATAGTGTTAGTGTGGACCAGTGTATCTTAAACTTTTAAGACCGAGGAACACCAAATAATTTTTTTTTAAGGGGAACAAAAATGATTTTTTTTTGTTGAGGAAAAAAAAGCCCCCAGGGAAAAATCGTTGAGCAGCACACTTTAAGAAACACTGGTGTGGACGTTCCGGTGCTGCTATTTCAAAATAATTACTCTCCAAAGTAATTCGAACTAATTATTTCCTACTGCTTTCTGGGGCGTTAAGTCAAGGTAGCACATTCATATTAATGGAGCCTGCTTTGGACTAATTTTGAGGTTTTCCTGTAGTGAGGACACATTATATTGATTTTGTAAAATTGGGAGTTATTAAGTCGCATTTAGTTACAGTAAAACCTGTGCTATCTGGAACTTAACTAGCTGGAAAACTTTAGAAACTGGCAAATTTCAGAGCTGGGGGGGGAAAAAAGGAAACTGGTGCTTTAAGCCAGGAATGCAGCACGTACTTGGGGGATGAGCAAACGGCCGCTATAGCCGCCTGATGCCAGGCTGCATCCCGGCCCCCCTGCGGCTCGCGGCCGCTCGGGCTCCCCTCCGCCCCTCTCCCCCCCGTGCCTCCACATCTCCTCCCCAGCAGGTAAGCCCCCTGCAGCTCCTAGCAGCCCAGCACCCTCATGGCCGCTTGGCCTGCCCCTCTTCCCCACACATTCTGGCTTCCTCTCCC